AAATCAGATTTTATTCATGTCAAGAAAATCATATAAAATTTATCTAAGAGAAAGAAAAAACTTGATAAATTTATATAAGAAAAATGCTTGGTTTCGAGGTGGGGTCGAGCCGAATTTAAGAAAGAATTTAAAGTGGACTAGCATGAAATTTACTTATATTTTATTTTATTTTATAAGTTTTGTATTGTTATATTTTTAATTGTTTGGGAAAGAAAGAAATATATATTCTAAACGAAACGAATAATACATGCGATTAAGAAATATTGCACTCTCAGCAGGCTGAAGGATACATGATTTATCCTTCTTAAAAGGAGTTATTAACCAACTGAGCGGTGTAGTATAATGGTTCAGATGCATGTCTTCCATGCGTTCTACCAAGTTCGAATCCTGGAGGATTCATTTTTTCTATATTTTAGAAGCACACCTGAACTCTCAAAATTCATGAAGTGGAATTGATGATCAGATGATGTGGATAAGATGATGTGACGCCCTGCAGTGATAATGAGGTGACATGGCAAAAAATACTCTTATTTGGGAAATAAGTTTAGAAGTATCCTAGTTTGATAAATAAGTTTGAAAAACACTCCTTCATGGAAAAAAACTCCACCAATTTAACATTTAAATAACCTCAACATGTACTCTATAAGTCAGACAAGCCTAAAGAAAATATTGGCTTAAATTAGGGTTTCCATATGTTTTCACCCTTAAAATATTCATAGAGGAGTTAGATTGTCAAATTTTATTTTCCATTCGCAGATTATGATTGAAGGAGAGGGTCACCATATATAATACTTGGTGGAGACATTTTGGCGTATTGATATGATATTAGAATTGGAATTGGAATTGGAATTTAAGTCATCAAAGAGAACGATTGTGCGAAAATTTCAACCAAAATGCGTTGGAGTTGATGAATAATGCAAGAGAAGCATCTGGTGTGGGAGATAATTATGAATTAAGAGTTATTTAAATGTCAAACATCGTAATAAATAAATGTTTAATATAGCTCTAAACCAATGTTTTACAGACCTTATCCAATCCAATCTAATTTGAATAAAATTAAAGAAAATTCTATTTTGTATCCATCTTTTATACTCACTCTTATACCTATGAGATATTATTTTCTCATGTTAACAGACAAAACAAACATGTTTTATCTGTAAATTCTTTGATAGATTAAAAAGTTTTTATCTGTGAATAGATTGAAACATGTTTATTTTGTCTGTAAACATGATTCACTGACAAAAAAAAGCCACTCACATGAATGAGTACAAGGAAGAGTATAAAAGGTGGGTACAAGTAGCAAAGTTGAGAATTAAATCAATTTCCTACGTAAAACTTAAATTACATAAATCACAAGATGGAATTTCAAAGCATATATAACTATGGAAAGGACATAAGAAGTGATGGAGTATATGGGTCCAGACTTCATGAACCACATATTCAGTAGGCTAAGAGGAAGCACAACTCACCCAGTGGGTCCTCCTTCGGCTAGATGACCCTCCATCGGCCAGGAAGACATCGACTCAAAATATGATACGGAAGTCAGGAGAACCGGGTGCCTCCCTCGACCGGGTCTCCGTCGGCCAGGGCTCCTTCGGCCGGACCTCCGTTGGTCACAGAGAACTCACAGAGTTGGATTTCATACTTAGCCAATTTGCATACTTTGTATTCAGCCCAATAGAGACCTCATTGTAACCGGGCCTCCCAAGCCCAAGACTTGGAAGCCCAACTCATAGTTTCCCTAAAAATATTCTCCTTGGGGGTAGTCGTAAGAGGTTGACAAATAGATTTATTGCATATCTATTGCACTTCTCTCTCTAGCTCTCACTTCTTTCTAAGAGTTAATACTCTATCAGGAAGCATGAGCCGGCCCTAGGGAATTCCTAAGGGACAATAAATCTTGCTTCTCTCAGATTGACATGAACTTTGATGATTGTGATGTTCTCTGGATACTAATGAATCAAATGTTTTGTTATGATGTCTCTTTTTTTCCTATCTTCTAGTTTTGATTCGACATTTTCTTTGGCCGAGAGTACAATATTGCTCATTTAGCGAGAGCCATGATTTTTCGCTAAAATTATAAAAATGACACCGAAAAAATTAGTTTGCTTTAATTAGATGGACTCTTTCTGAATTGGGCCATTTTGGCGGGCCTTCGTTTGATTCATTAAATTTTATTGAAACTGGGTTGTTGTAATTGGGTTGTAGATTAAACAAAATTACAAATAAACCCGGATGTACGGTTCTCACTCGTGTGTACAATATAGGAAGTGTTATTCCTCACCGCGCTATGTCACCGGTCCGTGGCCGGTCTGACCAACCTCTTGGATGCGATATCTGAATGAGGTGAATCGTAGGGCATACGTGTGTCGGATGTGCTGAGCCGAAGCAGACGAAGACGTGGGGCCCAGCGTTTAATTTGTCCGTGTAGGTTTGACGTCAGCATTTTATCCGCAGTCGTTATCCAAATCCAAATTCAACCCACCCCTCTTTATTATACTCCGAATTTATTTATTTAATTAAACGCAAATAAATGTAAAATACGAAAACAAAATGACAAACGAATAAGAATTTTCGACACATTAAACTACAGAATGGACTTGTTGCTTTATCGTCTGCCTGCCATCCATCTTGTTCAAGAAAACTTGAGCCACATGGAAATAACCCCACAATGATCGTTTCTTCTCTGAACGTACGTACGTAGTGACTAACATATGTTTTCATATACACTTTGTCTTCGTTTTTTAACCCAAAGAAAACAACAAATTGGTATGCGGAAACGCGGAGTATATACCAAGAATGAGCTAGTACAACAATTATTGGACATTGACCACTTCAAAAACATCTTCATTCATGATTTTAAAATAAACGATTTATCGATTACACGTGATTGTCACATCACATTTATTCAATAAATCTCAAATAATTTCAAGTCTTTAAACTTTTCATCAACCATGATACTCAAATAATTAGATATTCTAGATCATGCATTAAATGTATTTTAACTACAATCTAAAATAATACGGGATTCAAATCTTGATACAAGATTTTCTTTTTCAATAATCTCTCTAAATAATCTTTCACTCACAGTGATGATCTGTAAAATAATCTTACACGTCATTCAATTGAACTTTAAATAATCTCATGGACGGAGATGCCCTAATCCATCTTTTTATCAAAATGCATGCCCAAATGGAATGTGATTGTCCAAATGGAGTATTTATCAATGGATTTAGCTAGTTTTGGAAATGATTCAACTTCTATTTGTGTATTCAAAGCAGCATTAAAATTAAAAGCACTTTGCACTTTTGCCTAAAACCAAATATCCGTCTCTATAGGAGTAAGGAAAAGAAACAATTTTAACAAGTACACTCATACCCCTCAGCGTCCATCTAAGTGAGGCTACCATATTTGTAGTGGAAACATGTACTCTCACCTGTTAATATTGTTTTATTTTATCTTTTCTAAAAGTTCTACTAAAATTATCTTATATCAAATTGTATGCCTCTAAATCATTCTTACTTTATCTTTATTTTATCAATCAATATCAACTACATAAACACACTTTTCATAATTCAGCAGAATCGGCTAATCAAATCACTCCAGCCAGAATAAAACACTTATCAAGTAGGCTCCGTTAATTAAATAAAACTAGAGTTTAAAGATAAAATGTTTAAAGAATGCACAAATAATGAATGTGTTTTTCAATTTACAATAAAAAGTAAGGAAACGTCTTATATAGGAGTAAAAATAATAGTCTTTAAATAGGATAATTATATTTTTCTAAATAGAAATAATTTGTGTAATTCTCAATCATAATAATGACCATAATATGGCATTAATAAAATTCTCTTTGTCCCAAATCTTCATGCTTCTCGAGTATAAAAATTAAGAAAGTGAAACAAATTCACACAGTTATCTTCATATAGAAATTGCCCATTTTCACAAATTTGTGATGTATAGTCTACCCGGGGGTATGTATCCGAGGGGTTACTGCGGAGAGTAACTAGAGAGAAGTCAGAGCAAGTAAGAGAGAGAAAGTGTATTGAATATATGAGTTCAAAGCGTATTACGAATCTGGTTCACAAAGGGGAAATGAGGTGCTATTTATAGTAGTAATAAATGTGAGACGGGGACACATGTCAAACTTCCAACGGCCGATGGGTCACATCAACCAGGTGTCACAGGCATTCGCATGTGGCCACATTTAATGCGGCGGTTGGATGTGACGTTGTACTTGGTACGACGACCCAAGCGCATGTGGAGAGGATATTCTTGTCGAGGAAGGTGCCCTCGACTGTAGATGATTAGCCGGGGGCTCTTCATGTCGGGGGCTTCCTAGTGCCGAGGGCTACTGGTTTCGTCGTTTTCTCCCAGACTCCCAGTGTCTTCGTATGTCTGAAAAAGCCGTTCTGTGAGTATCTGGAGCCTTCGGCCCAGGGGCCGAAGGCACTCCCAGTGTGCATTGTTGGCTGCTTGGTACTCAGGGCGCCACGATTCAGGCCTGTTGTGCTTCCTGGACTTGTTGGGGCCTTGATTAGAGTAGTAGGAGTCTATGGGCCGAGAGTCCCTGGGCCATATACTCCATCAATCTGAATTACGATAAGATAAAATTAAAATGGACATTTTTTATATAATAAGATGTTCATAAAAAATATTATCCAAATGTGACACTTTAGAAATTGAGAGAATTCCCTAAATAGGAGTAAAAATGTTTTGAAATTCCAAAATAGGAGTATCATATTTTTTATTTCTTGAATATGAGTAAATTTTTGTCAAGTTGACATTACTGGGCTTTAAAAAATAACAGTTTTTCCCAAACTTGGCAGATTACTCCTATTTAAGAAATAAAAAAAATGATACTCCTATTTTGGAATTTAAAAACGTTTTTGGATAAGAAATTTCTATTAGAAATAGTGGATTATCCATCCGGAACTGGCAGAGTAATTCGATATTAAAAAAACATTTTTTTGGGCATTTAATATAACTGCATTGGTTACTGCTTATTAAATCCTTATCCTCGTTTATTAAAAAAGAGAAGAAAACAAATGAACAGAGATTAAGAGATATAGATGAGCCTAGCTCTGCTTCGTCTCTACGAAGCATATACCAGTTCACATTAAATAATTTATATATACCTTAGATAGTTTCTTTCAGATTCGCAGAAGTTTTTGCTACCTTCGATTTCTTCAGGTAAACAAGAAAGGAAGGCAAGTTTGTTTTCTCAAGTTTCCCACTATTCGTTTCACCTCAATCCGGTTTACACGAACCGTTTACTGTATACGTATCGTTTAACGCACGCTCTCATTTGATTAAAATCGATCGTTAGTCTGTATTTTCACCTGAATGTTACTTACGATTCTTGTTAGTTCCGATCCGATTCGGTTGGTTTTGGTGAATTGTATGAGGATTAACTGTTGAACTTCCGGCTGTTACCTTTTTGTGTGTTGGCTGGATTTGTATATCGAGAGGGAGAAAGAAATTTGTTGAGTCTAGAACTGGAGTGATGCTGATGGTATCTGGAAATGGGGACATTGGGAATTCATTTCGCAATTCAATGGAAGTTGTCAGGGGTGTGTTTTCCCCCATAGAGTCCAGTTTAAGGAAAGTGGCCAAGGATTTTGAGCACTGCTGGCCTGGTTCTCAGGCTTCTGTAGTCGATTCTAGTGAGGATGGGAATAGGTCAGAGCTAAATGTGAAGAGAATGAATGTGGGTGTGAAAAAGAGGAAGAGTTTAGCTGTGAAGGTACCGACCGAGATGCTTGTGGGGATTTTTGGGAGTAGTGATAGAGCTGAAGTTAGGGGTGGGAAGGGGCTGAAAGAGAAACACGGGGAAGGAGATGGCGGGAAGGGAAACAAGAGTCAATTTGACTGTTTACATTTCGCCGTTGCTTGGTCTTTAATGGTGAATAATTTTGCACAGGCTCTTCCGAGCACATTGAAGGCGGGAAAAAGGCAGGATGAGAAGAAAAGTAATAAGGTTGTGGTCGAAACTAAGAAAAACGGATCAAACTGTAAAGTATCTCGTTATGAAGGGGCAAGTCATGAACAAGGGAATAACTCATCACTTGAGGGGTTTATTGGGTTTATGTATGATCAGGTAGCTCAGAATCTTCAAAAGATTGACTCACACTTTCATGAGAAAGGATCCAATCAGCTTGATCATCTGAAGGTGCTTATTAGTGTGTTTGAAGGGAAAAGAGCAGATTTCAATGGATTTTTAGGGAATTTGAAGTTTGCTAGAGTAGGAGGTTTGCCAACAAGTGTTGTTGGAGTCTCTCCTCACAACGAGGGGGATGATGGTGCAGTCAATGGCGATGATCCCCACATGGAAGGCGGAGGGCAAAAACTGGCCAATGGATTGCTGAGCATTCCCTTATCGAATGTGGAACGGCTGAGGTCAACTTTGTCAACGGTTTCGTTGATGGAACTAGTTGAGTTGTTACCTCAATTAGGACGACCTTCACAAGACCATCCTGATAAGAAGAAACTAATTTCTGTCCAGGACTTCTTCAGATACACCGAAGCTGAAGGTATATATGCATTATCTAGACATAGCTTTAAGTGTTGTTCAACTTTTAATAATTTCAGTTGGTATTCTTGAGTATAAGTTGTGCTTATTTGATACAAGAGTATATTTACTTATAGATCAGTCATCAAATACATATACGTTTTCAGCTCATGGCAGCTTACATATATATATCTGCCTCCACTCATTCTTGGCGTTCCCATTAATGCACTTATGAATCCTGTAGGAAGGAGGTTTTTTGAGGAGCTAGATGGTGATGGGGATGGCCAAGTAACTTTGGAAGATCTTGAGATCGCCATGAGAAAGAGAAAGCTGCCAAAAAGATATGCTCGCGAGTTTATGCGCCGTACAAGAAGTCACTTGTTTTCTAAATCTTTTGGTTGGAAACAATTTTTATCTCTAATGGAGCAGAAGGAACCAACCATTCTAAGGGCTTATACCAGTCTTTGCCTGAGCAAGTCAGGGACACTTCAGAAAAGTGAGATTTTGGCTTCATTGAAAAATGCAGGCCTGCCATCGAATGAAGACAATGCAGTTGCCATGATGCGCTTCCTTAATGCAGATACAGAGGAGTCCATCTCTTATGGGCATTTCCGGAATTTCATGCTTTTGCTTCCTTCAGACAGGCTACAAGAAGATCCTCGGTAAAATTCTCTAGTACTAGTGGTCACATATCTAAATTTTTTAAACAAAGGACTTTACTTTGATCTCAAAATGCCAGTAATCTACTATTGTTAAGCTATATTCAACAGAGACATGCATTTGTAGCCTTTATTTGGGGATGAGATAGAGAAGAAAGAAATGGATGAGATTGTGAGAAAGAGATGGAGAAGAGAGAGATAGGGTCACTGTTTGTGTTGTTTGGTAGGAACGTAATGAAGAAGAAATCGGTGGAGATTATGAAGAGGTTCATTTATCTCTTACTTCTCTCTATAAGAGAGAAGAGATTAAATGAGATGCGACCCACCATTTTAGTATCTCTCCTCCCAATTTCTCTTCTCTCCAGTCTCTCTATGCTTAAGTACAGGGGTAAGACTGCGTACATCCGACCCCCACTTACCCCACCGCAGGTGTGAGCCTTTGCAGCTCTGGGGTTATGATGATGATGACCAAATGAGAGAAATGCTCAATGATCTCTTCTCTTGCTCAATGAGAGAAATGCTCAATGATCTCTTCTCTTGAGAAATGAGAGAAATACTTCTCTCTATAAGAGAGAAGAGATTGTATTCTTCGTTTTGCGTCTTATTTACCCTATTTCCCTGAGGTATTCCAATTATATTAAACACAGAAGTTTTGAAGTTATACCAGTGCATCATCACAACGGTAGTAAATCAGCAAGCAGAAGAAAGAAGATAATTGGTTTTTCTTCTAAACTGATGTGATGAAACATAACTGTTAGTTTCTTACTGTGCTAGGTTTTGATAGGCTGTGTTAAATCTGTTTTTGTGTGTATATCTGTTGGGTATGCAGATTATCTGTTACTTAACAGTGTATTGTGTTGCCTTGTTCTTTTCCGATCTTATATTTTAGAAGCAGACCACTTGACTATTTGGGTCCACGATAACTCTGGGAATTATTGTTTGGGTATACCATAACTTGTACTCCCTCTGTCCCATTAGAAGGTTCTCACTTTCCTTTTTTGGATGTCCCATATAAAGGTTCTCATTTCCATTTTAGGAAACAATTAAAAATCTTAAATGACAAATTAATCATTAAATATTAAAAATAATACATTTATAACATCACAGTTATCGATACTAACTACATTATATTATATACCTATTAAAATTATTTCTCAAAATATACTCAAAGTACTTTATTTTATTATTGCCTAAATAACCGTGCCGTTTTGCTATGGGAACCCTCCAACGGGACGGAGGTAGTATGTGCTTTTTACATTGTAAAGGTTAAAGTTTCGCATCTCTTTTGTTCTTTTGGTAATATATTTATATATTGGGAAATTGCCCGAAATAGGATTAAAACCAATGTGGCAGTATTCCAAATAGGAGTACTTTGATTTTCCTCTAAATAATAAATATGAGTAAATTACTGTCATATTACCATATTCTAGCATTATCAGGAATTAATATGGCAGTATTGATGCCATAATTGGATGTAGTCCAAGCATGCTTCAAATTATTCATATTTAGGGGGGAAACATAATATACTCCTATTTGGAATATCATATTGGTTTCACTCCTATTTTGGGCAATTTCTGTTAGATATTCCATGAATGTTACATTTAAATGAGACATTCTTTATTTATGTATAATGATTTACTGATTGGTAGACTGTTAATTGTTTAATATGTAATCACAAAATTTCTACAGAAGCATCTGGTTTGAGGCTGCAACTGTAGTTGCTGTTGCGCCACCTGTTGAGATACCGGCAGGAAGTGTCCTAAAATCTGCTTTGGCTGGTGGCCTTTCTTGTGCACTCTCTACCTCATTGTTGTATCCTGTTGATACAATCAAGGTACTCATTCCTCCTGAAATCAGGATTCAAATTGTCTATTACACTATCTGGAAACTTTGCTCTCCGGAGGATAGAATTTATGGAATCAAAATAATTTATTGTCCTCCTCTATTGTCCTCTCATTTGAGATTGAAAGAAAATAAGGAGGGAGAGCTAGAGAAGAATTGTTTTTTACTTTGAATTCTATTTCTAGAGAAGAAGCATACCTGATTATGAGGTAAAAATAGTAAATTTATTATGAACAGTAAACTTTACATTTTCTCTCCAACTTGGAAGGAGAATGTTTAGAGGAAAATTCTGTGTTTTCTTTCTTTATCTCTTATTTTTGAAAAAATAGAAAAACAAAATTCACTCTGATTTTACTGCCATGCTTTGTTTCACCTCGTATGCTCTATCTTCCCAAGCAGAGTGTTAAAGTCTGCATCATGCTATCTGTGGTGAAGATGTGTTTTTGGACATGGATCTCATGATATTTAGGATTGTTTGGAACTCAGAAATACTAGGGAAATGAAATATGGAGGATACTAGAGAGAGAAATGGAGGAAACGAAAATTTGGGGTGAAATAAATGGTTGGCGCAGACTCAGTAAATTTATTTGAGATGTCTTTTCAAATTCATGTAACTTATTAATATCTATCATATAACTGCTAAAAAATCTAATTATATCTAAAACAATTAGTCATATTTCGTTTTCCTTTGCATATTCTAAAGTAAAGCCATTCATTAGTAAATAACTGTCCTTACTCCTTACCTTGGCAGTTCGGTGATCCACACAAAAAGTCAAATTTGAAAATACTTTGTAATGGCTTTAACAATTACTTAAAGTTGTATGAGATAGGGCATTTGTTTTATAAGACACGCACCTTCCTCATCTTTGTTTTTGTTTTTATTTGTAAACGTGGTTATCAGACAAGAGTACAAGCATCCAGCCTTACATTTCCACAAATCATTTCAAAGCTCAATGAAATTGGAGTGCAAGGATTGTACCGAGGGTCTATTCCCGCAATTGTAGGACAGTTTTCAAGGTCAGCCATGATGTTCCAAATGATTATTTTTCTTTTGTGCAACACTCATTTTTATGTTCAGCTGCTTTTAGATATATCATATATGCATGCATATATAGGTTATACATTATTGTGATGTCTATTGCAGCCATGGATTGCGGACTGGAATTTTTGAAGCAAGCAGGCTTCTTTTGATAAAAGTGGCCCCCACACTTCCAGACCTACAGGTAAGGGATTTGACAGTGCTGTTGAATGAGGACACTAAGTATTCCCAATATTGTGAACGGCAATACTTTCTACATTACTGTTGAACATGCTTTTCTATGTTACCAAGTGCTATTCAAAATCCATTTCATGCAAATATTCGTTAAATTTGGACACCTTTAGAATTGTCTCTTTTGATCTGTTTCTTCTTCCAGATATTCACTGTTTTGAACTGTTAAATGGGGAAAAATATATACTGTCTCAACTAAATGTCAAAATGTAATTACATATTTAAATGTCTATTTCATCATTATCGTGGGAATTTGCTCACCCCTCCTCCCCCTTTTGATAAAAGCTAATAATGCTTAATGTGCACACCACTCCTCAGGTTCAATCCATAGCATCATTCTGCAGCACTTTCCTTGGTACAGCAGTGCGTATACCATGTGAAGTGTTGAAACAAAGGCTGCAAGCAGGCCTGTTTGACAATGTGGGGCACGCAATTGTAGGCACTTGGCATCAAGATGGTCTGAGAGGCTTCTTTCGTGGGACTGGCGCCACTCTCTGCCGTGAGATCCCATTTTATGTTGCCGGAATGGGCCTTTATGCTGAGTCAAAGAAGGTTTGTTTTGTTTTCCTCTGGAAACTAATCGTTCATTGTTGAAGATTTTGCTAATTTGTTCTTAGAGTGTATTTGAAACTAGGAAAAAACTAGGGAAGTGAAATACGGGAAGGAGTTAGAGAGAACAACATGGAAGGGAAGATAATATGGGGCAATAAACGATGAATGAAACTCAGTAATTTATTTTAGATGTGTTCAAAATCATGTTAGTAACGGTTAGTTTAAATTTATTCATCATTTAATGCAAAAAAATATAAATACATGTAAATATCTAAAAGGTACGGAGTCTTGAATATCCATTTCATGTAAGAATCATTTTTTCCATTTCCATTTTTCCATGGCAGTTTCCATTGTCCAAACAGACCCTTAAGGAGAGTTTGATTCATGAAATGTAAGATTATCTTGATTAATGAGATCACCTCCCGAAAGTTATCTCCTGAGAGTAATGCGAGATTACGAGAACTTAAGATTACTTGGATATTTTGACATTACATGAATGTAAAATCATGTCTGCATGATAAAAACGTAATGTTAATCTGATTCTAATACGGCAATACCTCATCTAAATGTAGAATATGAAATGTTACACACCGTGGTCCGTGCTATGGAAAAAAATTGCCAAGTAATGGAAGATGATAAAACTGAAAACCAATGTAATCTCATGATACTTAAAAGCTCCAATGTAATTGGATTAATCCTCTCACATTACCTCAATTTACTATGTGACAGTAGTATGAGATTACTCTGGTCATCTCAAAACTTGAACCAAACCAAATAATCCCACATTACTGTTTGAATATCTTAAACCAAACTAGGAGGTAATATGATACTCGTATTATATTTTTATGATCTGGTAGTCTCAAGTTACTCGTACAGTCGTACCAAAGGACCCTGTAGGGAATCTGTGTTCCATTCTTTTGTAGCATTTTGATGTAATTTGAACATGGTGATGATGTCAGGCTGTTCAGAAGGTATTAGGTAGAGAGCTGGAACCGTGGGAAACGATTGGGGTAGGGGCATTATCAGGCGGCCTTGCTGCGGTGGTGACAACACCGTTTGATGTGATGAAGACACGAATGATGACGGCCCCTCAAGGGAGACCGTTGTCTCTGTCGTTTGTGGCTCTCTCTATACTTCGCCATGAAGGAGTCTTGGGGCTGTTCAAGGGAGCCGTGCCGAGGTTCTTCTGGATTGCACCCCTCGGTGCTATGAATTTCGCTGGCTATGAGCTTGCTAAGAAGGCTATGGACAAGACAGCAGAGGACACCGTCGGCGGTGAGCAGCAGCCTCAAGTTGTCATTTTGAAGAAGTAGTAGTATGCTTATTACGGAGCACTTTATATCTATATATTTATCATCTTATGAAATTTTGCTTGTTTAATGCACAAGGAAATTGCTGAAAGATTGTTCAGTAATCTCTCTCAAAAAATAGCAGTCAATATCACATCCTATATAGTTGGTTGGTGATGTGTTTATTGAAGTCTTTGATTCTCTGATGAAAGATCCAATCTTTTTGGTAGCAATTGTAAATTGACAACTACCTGCGTGGAATCACCCCCACTGTACTCTTTGTCATTGTATTTTTGTCCTGTTTTCTGTACATTCCTAATGTATGAACTTTATTACTCTAGCTTAAACGGATGGTTTTAAAACCTAAAATTTTTAGTAGTAGTAGTGCTATTTTAAGACCGACATAAGAGTACATCCAGCGTTGGTATTTGGTAAAATATTTGGCTAATTAAACCCCCAAGTAAAAAAAATACATGCCATCAAAGTATCAAACGGTTCTCCTGATTCTGTGCAGAGAAGGCGGATATCATATCTTCTGTTTCTTGTTCTTAATTATAATGTGCTCATTAAATCCATATTTATTGTCTATGATGGATTTACACGGCTGATGTAGTGACATGAACTTTTTAAATAAATCAACCCCAATCGTGATATACTACTGTTGATTTTTTTACGTCGCATGACCTAGTTCCAATCTAGGGACTAGGGATGGAGTGATAAGTTGCATTCAAAAACGTAGTTGGAGGGGAAAACTCGGAAAAGCATAAAAAAAAACCGACAATTATTTTTCCAACACATGGCAGTATGGCACTATGGCACATCAATGATTACACGAGTCACACCTCACAAGTTATTTTTGTAGTTTTTTGTCTCATCATTTGCAGGGATGTACTACGACTAGGGTTGGACTCGGGTCCGGGCCGGGTCCGGGTCGGGCCTAGGCCCGGGCGGGCCGGTGGGTCAGAAATGGTGGACCCGGGACCGGCCCGGGTAACCACCGGGTCCGGTCCGGGTCCGGGCCGGGCCAGGCCCATTATATATATTTTTTTTTTCCTCTTCCTAATTAACCCCCCTCCCACCCCCAACCCCCCAAACCACCCCCAAATGGACCAAAATACCCAGCCCAACCCGAAAAGTTAAAAAAAATTGAAAAAAAAAAAATATTTTTTGGCCCGAACAGGGCCTTGTTTTGGGTGACCCAAGCCCGGACCGAAAAACCCACGGGCCGGGCCTACCCGGACCGGTCACTGACCGGGCCACCGGGTCGGGCCGGGCCGGGCCGGAACAGTGCCGGTCCCGGGCCGGTTCCGGGTCGGGCCACCCGGCCCGAGTCCATCCCTAACTACGACGGCCTGGCCCGGCCCAGGACCCAGTACTGTGCAAACCCGACCCGACCGGGAGGTACCAGGACCAGGACTGGGCCCCCGAACCGGGTGATAGAGGGGCAGGCTACGGGCCTTGCAAAATGTGAACCGGCCCAGCCAGTCCGGGAACAGTCCGAGCCCAATTTATTTATTTTTTAGATTTTTTCCAATTCATTGGATGCTAGGTGGGTGGGGCTGGGTAGTTTGTGGGGGGTTTGGGGGTGGAGTGGGGTAGGAATAAATTCGGAAAAACAAATTAAAAAAAAAACTTAGACCCAACCCGACCTGGGCCCGGTACTTACCCGGGCCTTCATCCCAAAACCCCAGTCCCGTACTCCCGGCCCGGCCCAACCCGGGCCTGGTCCATGCCTAATTGTCTGTAATAAATGTGGGAAAGCATAGTTTCTAGTACAAACATCATCAGTATATGAAGAAATGCCGTTCTAATGTCCCGATAGCAGTTGAGCATTGCATCAAGAAACCATGTAAAGAAAATTGGTTGAAAAAATTATGAAAGCTCAAGTTCATACAAATATACAATAATAGATTAGGATTCTCGAATGAAGAATATCATACACCTAAGGCTTGTGGGGGGGGGGGGGGGGGGGGGGTTTAGAGAGGAACAGATCCATAAAAGACGACTTGTGCAGGGCCAGTCATATAAACATGGTTGTCATCCTCCTTCCACTCTATCTCGAGTGGTCCGCCTGGTAAATTTACAGTGCACCTCTGTTCCAAGGAAGAACCACCGGTAAGGCAGTAACGAAGACCCAAACACACATAACAATACAATCATATACAAAACTATGTCAGTAATGTACAACACTTCTCAAGTTTTATGAAAGTTACTTTGGAAGAACTTTTCAAGTAATTGTTTTACATGAATATGACTAAACGAAGTAAAGACTCTTGACTGGGCTTTCGTGGACAAAAAACATCTTTTGAACAGAGGAAGTAACTAATAGAACTTTGAGCTACATCCACAAAAATCAACTCATATGAGGATTTACTCGTGCCTTATATGTTGGTTTACAATTTACATTGTATGTTTATATTTACTAAAAAATGACAAATAAAACCTCTAGCTTTTTAACAGAAAAAATAGGCCCGCTTTGGATAAATCCAAAATAGGACCAAATTATCTCAAACACTAATTCCATTCCTTTTTTCTGTACCACCACAAACACACAACTGTCACTGCCCTCCTTAACCGAAAGAATATTCCACAAAAAGTCACCATACAATTCATCAAAATAAATCTGGCAGGACAATGACATGTGCTTGTTTTACTGGTGATGGCAGTCTCTGATAGTGTCATAATAAAAGTGACATATTTAGCCTCTTCTTCAGAATGTTAAAAAAACAGTTTTTTTTCTATAAGTATTGTTTTAATATTGGAGGGAAAAAACTCTTCAATTAATGTGAGATAATTAATAGCCAACATATCGGGTATGTGTACTTTATGGCACACTCCGGGTACGAAAATGCAAATCTAATGTGTTTATTTTTCTTATACTCCATGAATGGAAACACACACAAGTGCTGGAATAGCTTAGGTAACATACTCTTGCAGCACGACCCTCAAGCACGGCAGCAACAACTACTGCACAAGCTCCCGTTCCACAAGCCAGGGTTGCACCTTCCATTCAAGAACACAAGAAGAGTTAATCTAAGAGAGTTTTAATTTTTAAAAAGAAAAACAGTTCTTTGAAAATTGATATGCAGTGCACAGATCTTACCTGCCCCGCGCTCCCAAACGCGCATTTTAAGGTGTGCAGGAGACAATACTTGGACAAATTCTGCAGAACCCAGACAGTGTGTGTCACAGTTGGCAAACCCCCAATTTCAACCAAACATTAAAACAAACTTGTTAATTAACTACATACAATTTATAGTGAGACATAAAGCTATATATCTATGAGCTCATACACAAACAAAATAACAGTGCGTTGAGTGAGGCTTGAACTTACCGGTGTTAGTTCGTGCAGGAAACATAACATGATTTTCAAACTTCGGGCCAATATCTGCCAAGTTTATCTCATCCACTTGCAAATCCTTGTATAACAGACAGATAAATTGAGTACAATAACCAGATATGGACTACAAAATGAGCAAATCTGATCCAGTCAAAGCAAGAAATGGTTATTGCATGCCATAAGCTACTAGAGGTCACAATGTCTCACAATCTAGAAGGCAAGGTTGAGTATACTACAAATGTATAGGATATTAATCAACCTAGGCTCTGTTTGGGTGGAGGAGTTTAGAGGGAAAGGCTTTATGGCACCTTGTCTATAATCTATATCTTAATTTATATATGTAATTAAAAAAAACTAAAAGATCAACATGGTATGCGACCTTATAGCTCTTTGGTCACCTTGTATTCGTTTTTCGAAGTAAACTACTTATCAAGATAGACTAATCTCTCCAAAGACTCCACCCCAATCCAAACAGACCCTTAGTCTTGGAATTAGATAATTACGCCACTTATCAGAAAACACGCAGATCAACGCAAGGAGTATACCTACCTCGCTTCCTGTACCAAAAGTAACACAATGAGGATTTCCCATGCTAACACATGTAACATTCCAAGTATTTCCATCCACAACCAGACCTCCTTTAACAACAGATTGATCATTGTTTGCTGGTAATTTTGTGGGGACGTCTGATGCCTTCAGCACTGGCTCACCCATGTCAACCCTAACCTGAAACTTGTCATGGATTAGTATATCTAATATAGATTGATGACAAAAAATATCATAACAGTGCAAAAAAAGGGGCCAACCATTCTATCCCAAATAAAATTAACCTAGAATACTATATGTCAAGAACTCAATCCTTTGAGTAAAGAGTACCAAGGAGGGATCACCTTTCCATCTTCTTGCATCTCAGGAACGATTAAGCCAGCTCCCGTGTGTACAGTGAAACTACATTAATGATGATAATAATAAGAGAGCAATACAATCACCTAAAAGTCGCTCATATGAAAAAGTGTCCATCATCATCATCATTACCCCAGTGCCGGAAAGGCACCCACATACGGTGGGGTAAGGGGGGTCGGATGTACACAGTCTTACCCCAGTACTAAAGCACAAAGAGACTGTTTCTAGATGACCCATAGTGAAAATCGCGTCGAAATATTGCATGGACGTAGTGCTGCTTCATAACAAAGAAGCACATACAGTTTAGTGAGTCATTTTTCTTTATTCCATCATATTCCCAGCCAAAAAATAGTGAGTCTTTGGCTCCATTGCAAATGATGGAAAATCATATGAAAAAGTGTTAGGAACCTCAAATTCAGACGGTAAAATTGGCGTATATTAGAGAAAGAAGGTGACCGAAAATACACGAGACACTTAAAGCAGTCCCCTCACCCAATCCTACTTCCAATTTCTGCCCACCTTTCGTTCTACTCCCAAGACCTATTTATAATATTTTCCTTATGGGCCAGCCCAAAGCTAACTAGTACCTGGCCCAAGACCCTCTAATACACCATTGCAATTATTTAATATTATTCTATTATTATTATTATTATTCTCAGCCCCGATCCTATATCTCCCCCCTTGGACAACCCTAGTCCTCAACCTTTCCAGTATCTCACGGATTTCTGAACCCTGCACTTCATTACTTGAACCTTCATCATCACTTCACTCACGTGAACAAACCAGGCCTTTGCAATTATAACAAGCAGGGATGCAAAGACAATGGTAATGATCTTAGTTTGTAACGCAGATGAAAGCCCTCTAAGCAATTACACTACCTCCAGCTTGGCCTTAGCATTACCCTCATGATTCCTTGCTAATTCTTTCTCCACACTCATTGTGGTAAACCATTCCTTCCATCACAGGTTTCAGCCCTTTAATTTGATCTTCTCAAAAGGTCCTATCCCAAACAGACTAAACCGGATTAAAAAGCTTCCCATTAAACCACACTACCTGATGATCTCGCGCATACGTAATCTCCCCTTTAGACCCTACAAGTGGAGCATTCATGACCTTTACTCTTGAAATAAAGGGCATGAATTCTTCTGTAACAACGCAAGC